AGCATGTGTGTTCATCACTTAGTTTCAGTGGCAGTTTCTGGATGGTTCTACAAATTTGGTGGAGTGAAGCAATGTGAGATGACATCCTTTCAATTACTGTTCATTAATAAGTCATTCACCCTTTATGGAATAGTATTGAAAAGGGTTTCTGAATGGTTCAACCCATTGTTTTCAGGTGTACTCATAATTAAGAACATTTTGTGGGTGGGGGATGCCTTCTCTATTTGTTACAATCCCTGGGCTACTTTTTTCTCCTTTTATTTCTATAAGATTTATGTTATTTTATATATGCATATGTGTAATAGGAGCACGGGGCCCCTTTGTTCTGCTCCACCTGGCTAGCTTACATCTGAGAAAACCACACAGAAATTGTATTAATTAAATTACTGCCTGGCCCATTAGCTCTAGCCTCTTACTGGCTAACTCTCACATCTTGATTAACTCATTTCTATTAAATCTGTGTATCACCATGCGACTGTGGCTTACCAGCAAGATTCTAACCTACGTCTGTCTCAGGCCAGAGATTCATGGTGTCTGCCTGTCTGTGCTCTTCTTCCTAGCATCCAGTTCTGTCTTCCCTGTCTACCTAAGATTCTGCCCTATCAAAAAACCGAGGCAGTTTCTTTATTCAACCAATGAAAGCAACATATAGACAGAAGAACCTCCCCGCCTCCCATTTTCCTCCCCCTCCCCCACTCCTCTCCCCCTCCCCTCATTCCTCTCCCCCTCCCTCTCCAGTTCAAAGAGCAGTCAGGATTCCCTGCCCTGTGGGAAGTCCAAGGTCCTCCCCCCTCCATCCAGGTCTAGGAAGGTGAGCATCCAAACAGGCTAGGTTCCCACAAAGCCAGTTCATGCAGTAGAATCAAAACCCAGTGCCATTGTCTTTGGCTTCTCATCAGCCCTCATTGTCTGCCATGTTCAGAGAGTTTGGTTTTATCCCATGCTTTTTCAGTCCCAGTCCAGCTGGCCTTGGTGAGCTCCCAATAATAGTTCAGCCCCACTGTCTCAGTGGGTGGTTGCACCCCTCATGGTCCTAACTTCCTTACTCATGTTCTCCCTCCTTCTGCTCCTCATTTGGACCATGGGATCTCAGTCCAGTCCTCCAATGTGAGTCTCTGCCTCTATCTCCTTCCATCGCCAGATGAAGGTTCTATGATGATATGCAAGATATTCATCAGTATGGCTATAGGGTAGGGTCATTTCAGGTTCCCCCTCCTCAGCTGCCCCAGGAACTAACTGGGGAAATCTCCCTGGACACCTGTGAGCCCCTCTAGAGTCAAGTCTCTTGCCAATCCTAAGATGGCTCCCTTAATTAGGATATATGCTTCCCTGCCCCCATATCCATCCTTCCTTTATCCCAATCATCCCATTCCCCCAAGCTCCCCCATCCTTCCCTTCTCACTTTTCTCTCCCTATTTCCCCTAACCCCCATCCCAACCCACCCCCAAGTTCCCAATTTTTGCCCAGCAATCTTGTCTACTTCCAATATCCAGGAGGATGACTATATGTTTTATATGTGTATTGTGTTTACATTACAATCTTTCCAGCCCACCCTCTCCGACTCTACCTCCTCTTAGGATTTTTTAAATTGTTATTATTATCACATAAATATTTATGTATAAATTTATAAATATATAAATACACTCTGATGCATCCAATTAGTGTTGTCCATGTTGAATTAGATGTTTTATCAGGGTCTCACCCCCGGAAATCACTGACACTCACTCTCTCAGAACTCATTAATTACCTGGAGCTCTTTATGTATGAGTGAAGTCTTTTGTGATTTCCCCATGTATTCTTGCATGACAATTGGTGTTGTCATTTTGCAGGTCTATTTATACAGCCATATTGTTGGATTTTCTTGGGTGTAACTTCCCAGTAAAATATAGAAGACACAATCTCACTATGCACAGGAGGTCTTCTGCCCCTTACAGTACTTCCAATCCTCTTCTGAGATGTTCTCTGATCCTCAAATAAGAGGGTTGTGTTATACATAGATCAGGTGGGACTGGCTATCCCTCACCATGTTCCTTAGTAAAGGCTTTATTGCTGTGAAGAAATACTGAAGCTATGACAACTCTTATTAAAGAAAACATTTAATCAGGGCTTGTTTACATTTTAAGGGGTTTAGTCCGTTATCATCACAGCTAAATCCATGGTGACATGCAAGCAGGCTTGGTGCTGGAGAATGAACTAGTGTGGGATTTCTTTTAAGCGTCCTTATTTATCTGGCCCCACATGGACTCGGACTCCACACTTAACAGGTGGACAGCCTAAGGGCCTAAATGGTCCACAGCCCAGAAAGTATTCCAACCTTGCTCACTTGGCTTGCTTTTACCTAAGTAGTTTTTTGTAGGGCCCCACCACAGCGGTGCTGAGTACATTGACTTGGAAATTTCCCAAGCACTTGCATGCCTCCCACCCCCACTTCTGTATTCCTTGCCCCATGGTATCTTTTGTGCAGCTTCCTGTTTGTGCTCCTTGTTCAAGAGTTCTGGGCTTCTTGTTCCGTGTATGGAATAATTTAATTGCTTTTAATTTGGGAAGCCAAGCATATTTCTCAGTATTTAACCAGTACCAAGGCGGGAAACTAAGGCAGCTCAGGGCCATTCTTGTCGCCACCAGTTGCATCACTGCTAGTCGAGACTCTGCAACCATGACACCTGCTGGACAACAAAGATTATTACACCTAAAACAATTTACCATATCTCATAACAAGTAATTAATAAATCAATATGGCAGACTACATTAACATTGAGACTTTTAGTAACGTTTTTGCTAATACTATGGATTGTATTCAATAAAACTTATATGGTTATGGTGATACATCCATTTATTGGGTATTGGGACTCAAGTTTTTTTCTTCATATCATATCCTTAAGAAAGAATGTGACACTTTTAGAAATGATACAGTATTTACAGACCTATAATGAGCAGGCAGTTGACAGGATTAATACCCTCTTAGATGTCCAGAACAGTTAGGGAACACAAATAAATTAAAGTTGGACAATCATTTGGCTATAAAATAGACTTGCACATGACATGAACTTATTTTTGGAAAATCATAAAGATTCTACACAAGTTTCTGGAACTGGTGAACAAACACACACATCTGAGCTCTACTACTGTAAGCTAATATTGTGCACAAACAATCAAATGTTCTGTTTTGTCACATGCACAACAAAGCTAAGTAGCAAGGGAAACTCAAGTTGGACCCATATTCTTCCTGAGAAAAGAAATAGAAAAGATTTTATGGATGAATGGGGACATGTGTGTATGGGAAGCATGTGGAGGAAGGTGGGATGAAAGGAGAGAGTACTTGGAGTAATAATTGGAATGGTGGGGGATTTGGGGAGCAATGTAGAAACCTACTACAGTGGAAACTCCCTGAAAACTACAAGAGTGACCCTAGTAAAGACTCTTAGAAGTGAGGGATAGATAGCCTAAAACAGCCATCTTCTACGCCTACAGAAGACTTCAAGCAGTTGAGCTTGACTCCAATTCAGCCACAAAATGTTCGATATCCACAATCTGTCCTTTCTGTAAGATTTACTTGGGTTATGGTGGAAGAGAACTTGTGATATTGGCCAAAAAAATGACTGGTCCAAATTAAAGCCCATGTTATGAGAGGGAGTCCAGACCTGACACTGCCTGGATGGCCAGGAACCAGAGGCTGGACAGCCCAGAAACACAGATTAGAACCAAACATCACTGGAAAGACATTTCAATGAAATGATTACTAATGATATTCTGTTATACTATTAGATCAAGTGCCTAGCCTAAGATGCCAGAGAGGCATCATTCAGCAACATATAAGAACAGATGCAGATACATACAGCAAACCATCTGGTGGCACCAGAGGAACCCCAGAGTAGAGGGGAAGGATAGGTTTTAGGAACCAGAGGGCTCAAGGACACCATGAAAAGGTGGAACACAAAAACAATTATGCATGCTAATGCATGGTCACAGAGAATACAGGGATAATCACAGACCTTTGAGCTTGTGCTTGGGCTCAGCATATAAGTTATTGTGGTGTAGATGGATATTCTTCTGGAACTCCTGACAGTGGAAGTGGGGGGGGGGATTCTAATATTTTTACCTTCTCTTTGAACCCTTATCTTCCTACTGGGTTGCCTCTCGCAGCTATGATTTGAGATATTGAGGCAAGATGCTGTACCATGTTCTAAAGATATCCCTGGAAATCTTGTTCATTTTTTGAAGGGAAACAGAAGAGGAATGGATCTGAGGTAAAGGAGAAATAGTTCTTAGGGAGGAGTAGAAGGAGGGAAACTGTAGTTGAGATGAATATATAAGAAGAGATTTTAAAATGAAAGAAATATGTATTAATAGGAAAAGTACTAATGAGATCGGTCCCAGTGTGAATGTCACTCACTATCATGATGAAAACAGTATGGTCTGCCCTTATGTGAAGGAATTTAAATCTGTGCATCAAACAAACTGTGGATCAAAGCTATTTAAAAACCAGCTATGTCCACAGTGAGACATGGGCAGACCCTCCTCCTGTCACTCTTCCTCACTTCACATGGATGACTGGTGTGCAGTCAACATTGGACCTACATGGATTAGTTAAAAAGAATGTATTTGAACATACGAGAGTACGTTTTTTTCTCAATGCAAATGATACACCATTTCCACAGCAGACTCAGAACTTCCAAAAGTTTGAGGGCTCCTGAAATCAGTTGCTGTGAATTCTGAGGGATCACTATATATTTGAACCACAGCCTAAGCTTTTACAACACTTGAAATTTTGTTTACCATATTTATGTCTCTATTTTCCTTTTAAGACAACCTCACTTTAAATTCAGGTCTTCCCTTATGTACATGTGTATCTCAAGATTATTGGGGTGTGTCTCCCAGCAGGCTGTACCTGAGTAATAAACTAATCATTTTCACCACATAACTATTCTCTATTTTTATATCCCATTGATAAAGAAATGCCAGCATTCTACTGTGGGATGAGAGGAAAGGTCACTCACTCGTCACGGCCAGGAGACCGGAAGACTGGTCTTCAAACCAAGGCGGTTGGAGATCTCACACTGATACTCTCCAGCATCCTCCCTCCTGACAGGATCTATTCTGAGTCCACACTTTGTTGGGGAAAGAGTCATCCTCTCTGTGAGCTGCAGATTCTTCTTCTTGTAGAACCAACGGATGGAGACATCAGTGTTGGGTGAAACACAGGTGAAGATCACAGATGTACCTCCTGAGACTGTGGTGTCAGTGATTTGCACAAAGGGCTGTGTCACAGGCTCTGTGAAGAAACAGAGAATACCAAATGACAGTCATCCAGAGAGTTCAACCAGGCCCTCTTTAGTTCATACTATATAAATCTTCCAGGAGGGAGAATTTGAAGCTGGTACTATAGACATATCTCATGCTTTGTATCTGCGAGCTAGTGACTGTGTGACTCTGATTCAGGCACTGTTTTCCATGTCTCAGTTTCCATGTATTAGGACACATAGTGAATGATCATTACTGTGTCTAAGTGTTAAGCTTAGTTATGAGTTTGATCTTGAGTTGGGGCAGCTACTCACATCAACAGCATCTGTTACTATCTGCCTCCTCTGTCTCTTCCCTTAGTGCCTTGACCTTCCTGTGAATTCTCATAAGTTCATCAGAGCAATAGGCTAATTGCCCAAACTCCTGTCCACTCAGCGTTAGAAGAAGGAGATGCAAAGGTGAACTATCTTACCCAGCTGTCATGGCTGTACACGGCTGATTCTATACCCCAGGAGACAGTCAGTCCCATGACTTGAACAGTCAGTAAAGCCTTGTTCCTGCCAGTTCTAACCAAAAATCTAAACAAACAATTAAAAATATCCCCAATGTGATCTTGATTCATGCCAGGGGCAATGTTTTGGAGTTAGAGATTCCTAGTGATCTCTGTGAAGATCCCATGGCTTCATCAACCAGGGACTGTCTGACTCCCACACTCTTCTGGGTACATGTCCATGGTGCAAACTCCAAATGTCTGCACTGAGGATGACATCCTGGGGCTGAGTTTTCCCAGCACAGGTCCTTCTTTCTGCAGGTAAAGACAGGTGAGTAGTTCTGATCTACAGTTTGTCTACCCAATGTGTGTCTTGCAGTAGAAACGCAAACCCCAGTGAGTGCACACAATACAGTGGGAGAAGAGCAGGCACAGCCAAATCCTGACAGGTTAGTGTATGAAACAGGATGAACCGCACCCAGGACTTAGACACCATAGTCACTTACTCTTTACATAAAATTTCACGTATGCTTTTTCAATTTTGAAATCTTTGTTTAAAACTTCTAGTGTGTAGATTCCTGCATCTTTTTCAGTGATATCCTGGAGCAACAGAGATCCATTTTGGAACACCATCCCTTTTGTTCTCTGTGCAACATCCCAGGAGATGGAAGGCATGGCTCTGTTGAGTTTAAAAATTGGGCTCCCATCCTTTGATTTGTGCCAGGAAAAGGCTTGTGCATCTTCTGGAAGATTATGAACTTGGAGAAGTACGTCTTCACCTTCAGAAACATACCGAGGCTCTGCTTGGATCATGAGTTGGGAAGAAGTAAGAGTGTCACAGAACAGAGAATGGGAACCTGGGAGGGAAAAGAGAAAAAAAAACATCACATAGGGATCATTGTGCTTGGTGAAAAGATAGTGACCTCCAACCAGACTGAGCAAATGGATTCATCACTCAGCCTAGCATTGCAGGTGTGTGAGGGTCTATCCCATGTAATGAAGGCCAAAACATGACCTTTCCTCACCTTTCAAAACCCCTTCTTTCCAACAGTGCCCCTGAAAGTGTCATTCCTCTGCATAGAATTGTCCTCTTGGGTGTCTACTTGGATTCTACTTCACTACCCTCAGGCAGATACTGCACACACTCATGCACAGTAAGGTTTGAGATGATGCCTCCCCTGAGCTCAACAGGTCTGGAACTTGCAGTCTCTACAATTTTTTTCTTCAGTTTCCTTTGAGACAACACTCAGCTCCTGACTTCATCTAATAGATATTCTTGCTGAACTGTCAAGTGACTCTTAGGTCTGGGGTTGTGTGGGGGCGGGAATAGTCTGATCTTCAAGTCAGTCTCAGCTCTTTTAAAGGCTTAGGTACTAGGCTGGCTGGTTTTATGTCAGTTTGACACAAGTTACAATCATTTTGCAAGACAAGGCTTGAAAATGCGATCACCTGGTTGGCCTGTGGGCAAAATTATAGCACATTTTAAAAATTGGGGATAAATGCAAAAGGATTCAGACCAATGCAGTCAGTTCAAGTATTGGGAACCGAATCCTGAATAATAAAAGAGAGCAGGCTGTGCAAGCATGAACGGCTGGCCCACAGGAAGAACTGGTCTCTGTACCAGTTCCTAGATTCCGTTTATGACACTCAACATGGATGTTCTAAAACCATGTCCCCTATCAGCTTAAAGAGGATGTAAGAGTGTTGCAGTGAAAATGTTCCCCTGAGTCACATTTTTACTCAAGCCTTGAAAAGATGAAAGTATGCAGTTCTCCCTGATCTAGAACCCCAATAGACTAGGCTGACTCTGCCATGTGAGACTGAGTTAATTTCCATCAAGTTATACTTTGATGCAAATGGAAGATGGAAGCTGCTCTATGGCCGTTTGTCTCTAGCAATGCGTGCTGTGCTAAGCACTCAAACCTCCACCTGGGGACACAGAGCAGAGGAAAGAGAGCCTAAGCCAGTCACAGCAGTCCTGTGTGTCTAAGCCCCACCCAGCACTGCACAATCACAGAGAATCACTTACTGTCCACCTGGAGTTGCACTTGTGCTTCTTCAATTCCCATATCTGTTCTCAGAATTCGGAGTGTGTACAATCCATGGTCTTTCTCAGTGACATCATGAAGCAGCAGGGATCCATCACTGTGCAATGTCTCTCTGCCACTGTATGCAGGCCCCCACACAGCTGGTTTCTTGGCTGGTACAGGTTGCGTAGCCAAAAGGTTCTTGGAGTCAACCTCTCCTTTATACCAGAGAAACTCTAAAATATTCTCCGGGGGATTGTGTACAAGTAGAAGAGCACTTCCCCCTTCAGCAACGCTGGATGGCAGTGATTCAACAGTGGTCTGGGCAGAGGGAGCAAGGCATCCACACTTCCAAAGGAAAGCTAGAAGGTAAAAGAGAAGTCCACCTAAGTTGGGTCTTTTCTATTTGCCTAACATGACGCCCTATGTCCTGAGCAGCTGTGTCCATTGCTCAGCCTAGGTTTCTGGGTGAGTTTCTCCATGTCCTACTTGGTAGAGATCTGCCCAGGCCCTTTAAATTCTCAGTGTCCCCACACTTGTCATTTCCACTATATGGGTCTCTGTCTTCAGTTGTCAGCATGGCTGTGTCTTACTGGATCACATCCCTGCTCACATTGACCTCAATTACCCCAATGGTGTTGGGGTGATGCCTGCCCATGGATTTATTTAAGAAACTTAGATTTATGGATAGAGTATTAGATCATCCAATTTGTTTTGATTTTTTGCGCTTGTTTCCATATTATAGTTGTATGTGAGTAGTGGAAGGGCTGGTCTAGTGTGTGTGGTGGGGACATGCAGACACCGTACTTACATGGAGGTCAGAAGATGTCAGTTCATTGGTCTCTACACGCCAGACAATGAATCAAATACCTATATCTTTGGACCATGTCACTGATCCACACCAGCTTGATTTTTTTTTTAATTTGGGCCATCAAGCTGTATTCTATCTCCAGAATACTGTGGTTATGCTTACAAATTTTGGGCAAAAACAATGTCTCCCCAACCCTTACTGATTAGTATTCAAGAAGAGAATCTAAGTTTTGAGCCTCTCTCGCACTCTGCATCTTCTCCCCTACAAACACAGAGACTCCTCTCAGGTCTTTGTGCCACTCAGGAGACTACAGACAGCATGTCAGTTCTCTTCCCTCACACACTGTCTCCTTACTTGTAAGTAGAAGCCCCTGAGATGTGGTGCACCCTTTGCTGAGGAGCATGGAAAGGGGCCTCTATTGTCTGCGTAGGCTGATCTCTCATTCCTCTGAGGTGTCTGCTCCAGCACAACTCACAAGCTCTGCTGCCCTTCCCGCATATGAGCTGAGCCCTAACCCCAGGAAGGAGCACCTCCCAGAGTATAATGAGGGTGGATCTGTGTTCATAACACTGCTCTGCCCCACCACTTTCAGCACTGCTTCCTGCTCATTTGTCGTCCCCTCTTTATGTTTATGCCATCTAGAATACAGAGTTAGAATAAAGGGTAATGGCCATCCCTGTGACATGAGCCACAACTGTGTAACAAAGAAGCCCAGCTGGGTGCCCAGTCTGCCCTGTGTATTCAATGCTCTGGAAACATGGAATTTGCTCCCACCAGGAAGGTGACAAAACTGACTTCGAGGCTCCAAAGGGACCAGGTGAGTGATGTGTGTGGAAAAGAATAAATATACTCCCCCTAGAATCACAGTCAGACTGGGTTCTGACAGAGATCAAAGGCTCAGGATGTGTCATGAGTCTCAGATCTTGAGTGTGTGAGAGGAAGTGACCTGTTTCCCGGAAAAGGGCTTTGAGATTCTTTATCATGTGCAAGATGTTCAGGACCATGATCCTACTTCCTCTGTTTGCTGAGCTGTGTAACAGGTGTGCCCACATGCTCCATAACCTTTCTGAGATACCTTGGAATACTGTTTAGTTGATTCCTCTAGGGTATCATGTATTTCCCAAAGGGAACACATAAATAGCGGGAAACTGAACATGATCTCCTGAAAGGGTAGCAGACACATTTATCAGCTGTTATGAGAATGCTGAGACCATGATTTTTAGATCTGCAAAAAAAAGGGGGGAGGGTGGAACCAGGCTACAAGGATAGTTCCTGGTTCATGCAAATAAATACCTTTCTGGCAGTTCATTGTGTGCCCTGGTGATCTCCAGGGTAACTACAGTTCTCCTCTGGGAAGCTATCAGACCAGCATATCCAATAGCTATTTGCCTGAAGGAGAGAATTCCTCAAATGGGACTCCAAGAACAAGCACTTGTCAGGAGAACCCATGTGCTTAGTCCCTCTAATTGGGCACTATGACTTTCATGTAAAACCCCATGTGCCCAAGAGGACAGTAGTCAATGGCCTGGACACCTGTTGAACTATGCTCCCCTGCTGACTCTCTAAAGAAGATGACCAAGGGATGGAGCACAGTAGTACAACCAAGGCTCTTAGGACAGTGCACAGTCTAATCCCACACCATCACAAGACTCTGACTACTAGGGAGCACTCTTCCCTACCACCAGAAAGTCAAAATCCAACACTTATCAATTGCTTCTTTCTCATGGACACATGGAGTGGAGTCTGGGACAGAGGTCTTGAGGCAGGGCATTCTGGAGCTCACACCTCTGTGAGGATTCCATTTTTTCTTCAGCCATGCACACTGTTGATGCCCTCAGAGTCTTTCTCAAGGAAACATTCCTGGTAAGTACTCCTAGAGTCTAGACAGAGATTGATTTCCTTAGATGAACTACCCATCACACACCTACCTGTGTGCAAGGTGAAGTCAAATGAAGGATTCTGATCTATTGCCATTAATCTACACCTTGTGTGTCCTGCACTAAATGGTGAGACTGCAACATGGTGGCACAATACACAGGGAAGTTAGGCACAGACTATTCTCCTGTGTGTGTCTAGTGAAACAAACCTCACCCAGCTCACAGATTCACAATGAATCACTTACCATACACATTGAGGTACACGTTTGCTGTTGATATGATTTTTCCACTTCTATTATAGGTTCGTAGGGTATAGAATTCTGTGTCCTTCAGGTTGACCTTCTCAAACAGCATGGATCCGTTGTGATATATTGTCTCTCTACTGCTGTGTGCAGGACCTGGCCTGCTTAAACCTTTGTGCAGTGCATATGTTGCAATTTCTTCTGCCTCGTCTCCTAGCCCTTTGAACCAGGCTAAGGATTCAATTTCCCCTGGCAGATTGTGGACAAGGAACAGGACGTCATCTCCTTCAGACACTATGGGTGGCACTGATACAGTGGTCTCATGGGCAGTGGCGGAGAGGAGCCAGAAGGTTAAAAGGAAGGCTAGAAAAGAAGTGAGAAAAAAACCACCAATATTAAATGGGTGTGGTCACCACTCAGCATTGCTGTGTACATAGGTTGTGCCCACCATCCTTCGCTGGCATGAGCACCATGGCTTCCATTCACTCAGAGTGTCTGAGTATGTCATTACTCCTTAGGATTTCTGTGCTCAGGTGTCTGTCTGGTTCCCTGACTCGGTGTCCCTTATCCATCCTCACATAGAGTATATATGTAAGGATCACTGCCTCTCTGAACTCCTCCTCTGGAGAGTCATCACTTTCTGTTTTACTCTCTGTTCTCTTTGTGATTTTCTTCAACCTGAGGCTTCATCTTTAGGGTTTACTGGCATCAAGTCCACTGGAACCAGGGCTTTTTGTTTGTTTGTCTTTAGGTTTTAATTTTGGTTTTGTTTTTTGAGACAGGGTTCTCCTTGAAGCATTGACTGTCCTAGAACTTGCTCTATAGACCAGGCTGGCCTGATCACCTGCCTCTGCCTCCCTAGTGCTGAGATTAAAGGCCTGAGCCACCATCAAGCAGCAGAACCAGGAACTTTTAAGGGTAGGATTAGTCTGATCTTTTTTGGAAAGTTCAGTTCCTGGAAAAGATTCAGACACAGTAGGCAAAAGAAAAAAGGAAAGAAGGAAAGAAGAATGTGCCTTCTGCGATTTTTCTTCATAGTTTCTAGTTTTGGAACTTAGGACAATAAGTTTAAGTGTGAAAAAAATACTTTTAGATATTTTATACTAATTTGTGCATGTATTTGTGAAGGCTGGTGTCTCCTTGTGTATGCCACAAATTTGTGTGGGCACATGTGCCAAGGTGTGCATGTGTGCGTACATGCCCCAGCACCTATGTGGAGGGCAGAGTAGAGCCTGCAGGAGTGTGTTCTCTCCATCTACTGCATGGGAGCTGAGGACTGATTTCAGGTTATCACATCCTCCCACACTGAAACATCTCTCTAACCCTTCCCTGTTTGATTTCTATTTGGAGGGTCATGCTGTCAGAGTGGGTAACAAGCTGTCTTCAGAACATTACAACCAATGAAGTTCACTGTGAATATGGAGTGCTTGAGGCTTTTCTCTTACCATCATCACCCCCTGTACTCTGAGAGCTTCTGGATGCTGAGCCTCTGTCCCTTACTGTACCTTATGCACCAAAGCTGCAAACAGAAACCTTGAGTCTCCTCCCAAGATCCTGTCCTCCTCTTTAGGAAACTCCAGCCTGCCTCTGAGTCCCCCTCCCCACACAGTCAGGGAGTGAGTACCCTTACCTGTGAGCAGAAGCCTCTGCCAGGGGGTACACCCCTTGCAGAGAAGCACAGAGGACTCCATCAATCTTCTCACTTGCTGTCCTCCGTCTGAGGAGAAGAACCTCAGCTCCAACACAGAACTCAGGCTCTGCTGTTCTTCCTCCTTCTGGGCTGAGATTCTTCTCAGACAGAAGCACTTCTCAGAATCCAATGGGCTGTGAGTGGTGGGGTTGGGGTCCAAGGCACTGCTCAAGCCCTTCCACTCTCAGTGGTGACCTGCATCCTTCTCAACTTCCCTTTATGTTTCTCAACCAGCCTAATTTCTGCAGCAAGGCTGATAAGCATCCCCATGGCCTCAGGAACAATGGCTCATCCTGGGACTGACATCTGCTCTGATCTTGCCTGGGGTCTGTCAGCACGAAGCGAGGAACATTCACCATGTTTATGTCTTTGTGACACACAGACCCAGCTGAGCACTCAGTCTACCCCCTGTTTTGTTTTGTTTTTTGTTTTGTTTTGTTTTTTGTTTTGTTTTGTTTTTTCTTAATCCCTGCAGGAAAGAGACATAAATGTCCCTGAGGGCTGGGAAAAGACCAGCTAAGTGATGACTAAGGATGAAGATCAGTGCTTTAAAACTAATGCCACCAGTCAAATTAATTCTCCAGGAAAGAGGCCAAGGAGAAGTTGGTTGAGAGGTTCCATGTACTCAGTCTTGGGAAAGAGGTGACCTGTGTGTCCTTGAAATCGAAAGGACTGTGGGCTCCTCCTTCCTAAGGAGGCTTCCAAGGCAACATTCTAGCATTATGCTTTGGCTACTCACATGTCCTTTCTGACCTTCCGGTCACCTTTACCCTTTGTTACCGATGGGAATGATGTCTTCTTTTGAGAAATGACAGGACGGAGGAGACCTTCATGGTTCCCATGCAGAAAGGTGTTCTCAGACAAAGGAAGGAGCCAGTAGGTTAGAGTACATTTTAGTGAAGGAGCTTAAGGTAAGTAGGGACAGAGATGGAAAACAGTCTCCTAGGTCATAGCTCAGGGAAACAATTTTCATAGCATTGAGCTGATGCTCGTGATCACTGGAAGAACGGAAGTCTCATCTTCAATGCTAACAGGAAGCATGGTCAAGAAGCCAAATGAGAGATTCCCTGATATGCTCGGCACCGGTGGCATTCAATGATTGTCTTCCTGATCACTGTGCTCTTCAGGACTCCTAATTCCTTCTACTGTAGGATGGGTCTAAACAGGGTTCCAGATTTGTCCTGGAAAGCCCTGGACTAAAGCTGCAAGTAGTGTGAATCCAGAGGATGGGCATTCTCAGGAGGAGCCTTGTGCCCAGGAAATTTTGAAGGAAAGTCCTAGGACATTTCTCTTGAGAGTAAAAGGACAAAACACAACAGGCCATGGGGCTGAATGCCTTTAATCCAAGCACTCATGAGGCAAAGGCAAGTGGATCTCTTAGATGCAGACTAGCCTGGTCTAAGCAAGTTCCAGAATATCTGGGGCTACACAGAAGAATCCTGTCTGGAAAAACAAAACAGGAGACACTAATATAGTAGACTGTACATGCACTTTCAGACCAGTCACTGCTGTCTCAATCCCACCTTCTCATTGTCCAGAGAGTACTCAGGGGTATAAATCACATCGAGTCAAATAGATGTGCCTCCCCTACAATGTGCTCTATGCTTCTTTCTCTTGTTGTGATAAAAACACCCTGAAAAGGAGTGGTTTAGGAGGGAAGACTAGAGTCCATTACCTTTCTGGTACTGAGCTATATTGTAGCACTGAAGGAATTCAAGGCAGAAAACATGCTGCTTGCTGCCTCATTCGCAGACTCACACTCTGACCCATACTTAGCTAGCTTTCTTATACAACCAAACACCATCTGCATGGAAATCATGCTGCCCACAGTGGACTGGCCCCTCCTATGTCAATTAAGACAATCATTCAAAGAAATGTACACCCTGATTTGGTTGAGACTGTTTTCTTTTCTGTTGTTACTGTTTTGTTTATTTATTTTTGCATCGTGACTGCATTTTCCCCTCTCTCCACTGAGACACCTGTCTGTTATTATACAATAAAATATAGTTTTTATTGCTATATTTCTATAACAGAGCTTGAAATTAAGGATGATGATGCCACCAGAAATTCCATTATTGCACAGAATTGTTTTAGCTATCTTACATGTTTTGTTTTTCCATAAGAAGTTGAGTATTGTTCTGTAAAGAATGGTGTTAGAATTTTGATGAGAATTACGTTGAAACTGTAGATTGTTTTTTGTAAGATAACTATTTCACTATGTTAATCCTAATGGGGAATATTTCCATCTTATGATATCTTCTCCAATTTCATTCTTCAAAGACTTGAAGTTCTTGTCATAAAGGTCTTTCACTTGCTTTGTGTCTTAGTCAGGGTCTCTATTGCTGTGAAGAGAAACCATGACAACATCTACTCTTATAAAGGAACATGTTTAATTGGTGTGGCTCACTTATAGTTTCAGAAGTTTGTTACATTGTCTTCTTGGAGTAGAGCATGTCAATATGCAGACATCTATGGTACTTGAGAAGTATCTGAGAGTCCTGCATCTTCTAGGCAACAGGAAATGACTTGTCTATCACAGAAGCAAATCTTGACCCAAAAATATTTCAAAGCCTGTCCCCACAGTGACACACTTCCTCCAAAAAGGTCACACCTACTTCCACAAAGCCACACTTCCTAATATTGCCACTCCCTTTAGGGGACATTTCCTTTCAAACCACTGTACTTGGTTAGACATACAATAAGATCATTTCTATTGTTTGTGGATACTGTGAAGGGTGATTTTTTTTCTCAGCCAGTTTATCATTTGTATATTGGAGGACTACTTATTTTTGAGTTACTTTTAACCAGTCACATCACTGTAGGTTTTTTTTTTTATCACCTCTCAGGGTTCCCTAGTAGAATATCTGGGCTTGGTTATGTATATAATCTTATCATCTGCCAACAGTGACACTTTGAATTCTTCCTTTCCAATTTATATCCCATTGATCTCCTTCAATTGTCTTATTGCTCTAGCTAAAACTTGCAAAAACTCTCTTGAAAAATTTGGTGAGAGTGGATAGCCTTGTTTTTTATTTTAGTGAAATTGCTTTAGGCTTTCCCCACTTAGTGTGATGTTGGCTATTGGTTTGCTGTAGAGTGCCTTTATTATGTTTAGATACGTCCCTCATATCTCTGTTCTCTAAAAGACATTTATCATGAAGGAGTGTTGGATTTTTTTCAAAGGTTTTTTTTTTTTTCAGCATCAAATGAGATGATCCAGCGGATTCTTTTTCTTTCAGTTTGTTTATATGGTGGGTTACACTGACAGATTTTCATAAAATGAGCCAACCCATCTTCTCTGGGATGAAACCACAACATCATGGTGGATCATCTTTCAGATGTGTACTTGGATTCTGTTTGTGAGTTCTTAATGAGAATTGTTGCACCTAACTTCCAGAAGGAAACTGATCTGTAATCCTCTTTCTTTGTTGAGGCTCTGAGTGATGTGGATATTAAAGTGACTGTGGCCTCATAAAAAGAATTTGGAAATGTTTTTTTCTGTTTATATTTTGTGGAATAATTTGAGGAGTATTGGTATTAACTCTTATTTGAAAGCCTGGTAGAATTCTGTGCTAAAATCATCTGACCCTGGGCTTCTTGTTTGGGAGACTTTTAATCACTGCTTCTATTTCCTTGGGAGCAATAGGTCTATTTAAATTGTTCATCTGATTATGATTACCTATTGGAACCATTGGACTGGTTATGAATGATTCAGAATAACTTTAGTATTTATTCATCTATAACAAGTAATCAAAAATAGAATAATATGTATCAGAACCCATATGGGTTTATCAGGCAGGCCCTCTAGCGCAAGGTAATGATGAAATTGTTCAACTATTAATAGGGAATGTGCTAGATGCCTCAGAATTTAATAAGAAACTCCATGTTAACATAAATGGTTTGAAAAAAGATTTTTCTATCACTTGGCAACAAGCCAAGGAAATTATAAGGACATGACCTTCTTGTTTTTATAGGACCAATCTACACCACATAGAGGAAGCAAGTCAAAGGGCATTCAAAGAAAATTTGGTAAATGGCTATGTTTTATTTTTCAGAGTTTGGAAAATTAAAACATGTGCGCGCGCGCGCACACACACACACACACACACACACATATATATATATATATATATATATATATATTCAGGATTTCTATGGGCAATTGACACACACACACACACACACACATATATATATATATATATATATATATATTCAGGATTTCTATGGGCAATTGCCACACACACACACACACACACACACACACACACATATATATATATATATATATATATATATATATATTCAGGATTTCTATGGGCAATTGCTTTAAGTTCTGTGATGGTTGATTCTGTAATTACACACTTTTTAGGATTCATGGCCATTATAGGAATACCTGTACACATGAAGACTGAAATGCTCCGGCCTATGTCTCTAGTTAAATAAGACAAGTTTTTTTGAATATTATGACATAAAGCATCTTACAGGTATATGCCACAATCATACAGTACAAGCAGTTTTAGAAGGATCTAACCACACTTTAAAAGAAATGCGTACTAAACAGAAAAGGGTAACAAAGACCCTCAGAGATAGATTAAACAGTATTTTATTACCTTTAAATTTTAAATGCTAATGAGAAAGGAACGGCTGAGGAGGGACATTGAATAGTAGAAAAATTCTTATTGAGTTGAATCAGCCTGGATATTTTAAAGATGTGTTGGCTTCAGATTGGAAACCAGGATATGTTTTAAACTGTATAAAGGTTTTGCCTTTGTTTCTACAGGAAAAGAAAAATCTGCAGAGACCATCAAGATGGATAAAGATCAGATTTGAACCTGTGAGGCATCCTGAATAAGGAAACGCAAGACAGTTTGGTCATTCAGTCAAAGGCACATTATAATGATGAAACAAACCTTTCATATGATCAGGCATGAAAAAAATCAAACTAATAACTTGAAATAAGTGATAATCTGCAAAAGGCACACTTGCCTTACTGGCATGAAATGCAAAATGGGTTTCTTAAACTCTATGTTTTAACTGCATATTAGGGTATTAGACTGTATTCCTCGTGGCCCAAGCCATCTTGGACATCAGATTTTGAGTTTTCTTCTTAAGTAAAAAGGATATTTTTATTGTTTGGTGTTAAAAACACAGTTAATGGATTTAAATGTTTTAAGTAAATTCAAATGGTCACAACAGTTTGAATTTGTTTTCTAAATCTCTAAGAATTGGCAATGCACAGATTAATAGAAATGAGTTAACTAAGATATAAGAGCTAGGCAGGAATACATGTAATCTGTTTTCTAAACAGTGTTGTAATTAATATAGCTTCCTTGTGATTATTCAGGTCTGGGTACCA